GGGGAGCGCGCTGGACGCACGGAGGCCGGTCCGAGGGGCCACTGCCTTACAAGGCCGTCTCTGCGCAGGCCACCGGCTCTACGCCCAGGGCCGTGGGAACCTCGCGGGGCAGTGCCCGTAGGGCCCGCAGCCGGGTCTCCGCGCCACCTCCCACCAGGACGCTGGCGATGGAGGGTGGAGGTGGAGGGAAGAATAGGTGCGCAGACGGGCCTTCCAGGATGGGGCGGCCGAGAGCACTGTCCTCTTCGCTAAGGCGCTCGGGCCAGGAGGGGGCCCGGGGTGGCGAGGGACTCGGACCCCACGGAAGGTGGGAAGGTCAGGGAGCGGGGAGTGGGCCGCGTCCGGAGATTTGAGGAGCGAGTACCCGGGGGAAGGGATGTGCGGCGAGCACCTGGGTGGAGCACCGAGGCAAGGCAGCAGGTCCGTGCCCAGCACCAGCAGCAACATCAGCACCATGGGCAGCTGGCTCGCCTTCCCGGGGACAAGCAGCGGCTGCACCGCCACCTCAGCCTCCACTCAGCTGCGGCCTCCCTTCTTCCTATGGACAAAGTGGGTCTCCCCTGGTTGCCTGTGTGGAAAGCGTCATCCTGAAACCCTCTTCCAGTTTCTTTGCCCTCCCCTCCCCTTCTTTGGGACACCTGTTGCCTGTTCCCCCCACCTGGCCCGTACTGCCGAGGAGAGGGGCAGGTCTGCCTTCAGCAGAAGGTTCTCCAGCCAGGATGACAGGGAGTACTGGCCGGAGTGCTGGGACTTGGGGTACAGGGGTCTCCCTCTCACCCTCCAGGACCCTCCAGTGGAAGAGGTCTCCTAAGGCTACTGAGAGGCTCAGCCTCCAGGGGGGAGGGTGGCCCTGAGATCACTTCTAGCTTCACTGCTATGGTTCCCTTGGAGCTAGCCAAGGAGCCCCACCCCAGGCTCTGTCTTCAACCTCCTGGCTAAAGACACCCCCCCCCTTCCCGCCCCGCCATCACCACACACGCACACACGTGCAGGCACACACACAGGCTCTGTCCTCTCCCTCCCAGCTGCAGACGCCCTCCCTATAAACACTTCTAGATTCTATCCTCATTCTCCTCAATGAAGATCCCCTGCGCACACATTCCCATCCTCCAGGTGTGTCCTGTCAGCACCTCAGCTGACCCACAAGCGCCGGAAGCAGGAGTCAGCCTGTGGGAGCACAGCTTCCAGGCTCACCACAGAGTCCAGCCAGGTCAGGGAGCCTGGCAAAGGCGACAGAAGAAGTTGGGGTGCTGAGCCTGAGAAGGGGTGATAGGTGTTGGCTGTCCACCAGACCACAAGTGAGAGAACATGGTTTCCTGATGCTCAGGGAGCCATGGTGGCTGCTGCACAGCCCTCACGGTGGTCCTGGGTCCCAACGCCTTCCTCTCAACCCCGCTGGTTTCTACTTCCGCTTAAAACTGGCCCAAGGATGGGCTTCTAATTCTCATTCCCCTGAAAGGTTCCATACCCCAGAGGCCAGGCAAGTCCGAAAACTTAGAGTTGGAGAAACAGGGAGAACTCGAGCAGGTCCCCCTGAGGCCCCGCTCTCCGCACTCACGGTTCTGTTCTATTTAGGTTGAAGCTGGGCTGTGCCGTCTCTGTGTCCACACAGGCCTGGAAGTTATTAACAATGCAGATGAAGAAATGAAAAACACTGCTAGTATGTTCCCATAGTCGTGTAAGCCAGGTGATGGTTTAATTCCATTTTTCAAAGCCAGCACAAGTGCTCTGACATACATGCAGTGATTTTGCCAACCTCTTCCTCCGTCTTCATGTGCCCCACCCCCCTTTGTCCTCTTCCCTGTGTCTCTTATAACAACACTCTCATTGGGTTTTGGGCCATCGGATAATCTAGGATGATCTCCTGTCGAGGTCCCTAATTATATCTGCAGAGACCTTTCTCCAAATGAAGCCACATTCTGAGGTTCTGGTGGGCTGTCACCCAGTACAGATGCTCTTCCTGGCTCTCCGGCAGAGGTCATCTCGACCCAGCAGCCATGGCAGGTCGCCAGTAGATGTCTCCAAGTCCCTCGCTGCCCGCCACCTCCCACCCCCGCCCCCCAGCCCCTGGCTTCCTGAGCAGGTTTTGTGTCACACAGTGGGGAGCATGCAGGACAACCCTGCACCTGTGTCTCAGGTAGTGGTGGCAAGGGAAGGGTCCCACCCAGGCTCCCTGACAGCCCGCCACTGAAACAGCCACCCAAGAGCCAAAGATTTAAAATTACCAAGACTGATTTTAAGTTTATTGCCATTAAAATTAATTTTGATTACTTCCTATAAAACTTTCTAAAGAATAGCCGAAACCGGTTTGGCTCAGTGGATAGAGCGTCGGCCTGCGGACTGAGAGGTCCTGGGTTCGATTCCGGTCAGGGGCATGTACCTTGGTTGCGGGCATGTCCCCAGTGGCGGACGTGCAGGAGGCAGCTGATCGATGTTTCTCTCTCATCGATGTTTCTAACTCTCTTTATCTCTCTCCCTTCCTCTCTGTGAAAAATCAATAAAATATATTAAAAAAAAAAGAATGCTGAAGAATTTCTTTAAAAGCTACTTAAACTCATAAACTTATCAACGTTACTAACCAACAAGAGTAAGCACATTGTACCAAGTCCATTTTGAATTCACTTTCTTCCTTGAATAACATAGACATGTTTAGAAAACTATGAATGTCTTTTAAAATATGGTTTCCAAACTGAGTAAATACAGTTCATTAAAATCACATGTAGCCAAAAAAATAAATAAATAAATAAAAATGGAGGAACACCGGTTCCCTCTTGGCTCTCTTAGAAAGAGTGGAGGCCTTGCAGGCAGAGGGGATTGGTGGGTCTTGGGCACCCCTTCTGGGCACTGGAGTTAAGGGTGGGAAAGGGAAGGGTCTGGGAGATGGGCACACATTTTCTTTCTTTTATTTTAAACACCTTCTTGGGCCAGTCCCCTCCAAGCTCCAGGTCATCAGGCACCATGGTCAGGGGTGACTCTGGAGGAGTGTCTGCTTCAACCTCAATGAGCTGCTGAGCTCCACACTGGGGCCCAGGGACAGGTTGGTCCTGATCCATCCCCGAGGGGTGTGGAGGGTTAGGGATGTGGAGGCTCACTTGGCTGAACCTCCTGGCCCAGCAGAGTCACCTCCTATTTAGGTTCTGGAAGTTGGTTAGGCTGGAGGGGCATTCATCCTGGGGGCCTGCCCCTCATCTAGCTCCTTCACGATGATGGTGGGGGGCGGCACACTCTGGAAGGGTGGCCTGGGGGCTCCTGAGGTGGCACTTTCAGCAGGTGAGTGGCTTAAAAAACTGTGGGATGTCTACACAATGGAATACTACGCTGCTGTAAAAAAGAAAGAACTCCTACCATTTGCAACAGCATGGATGGAACTGGAGAGCATTATGCTAAGCGAAATAAGCCAGTTGGAGAAAGATAAATATCACATGATCTCACTCATTTGTGGAATAAAATGAATAACATAAACTGATGAACAAAAATAGATCCAGAGACATAGAAGCATCGAATAGACCCACAAACCTCAGAGGGAAAGCAGGGGAGTGAGAGGGGGTAAGAGATCAACCAAAGGACTTGTATGCATGCATATAAGCATAACCAATGGACACAGACACTGGGGGGGGGGGGGTGGTGAGA